TACTGAGAGTATGATATTCAAGCTTAAATCATTTCGGTCGACCGAAACAAAACGAGGCTTTACTTTGGTCTACCGAAACAAAAGTACTGAGAGTATGATATTCAAGCTTGAATCATTTCGGTCGACCGAAACAAAATGAGGCTTTACTTCGGTCTACCGAAACAAAACGAGGCTTCACTTCGGTCTACCGAAACAAAAGTACTGAGAGTATGATATTCAAACTTGAATCATTTCGGTCGACCGAAACAAAACGAGGCTTCACTTCGGTCTACCGAAACAAGAGTACTGAGAGTATGTGTCCAACCTCAAACCATTTCGGTCGACCGAAACACAAGGGTGTTTCATTTCGGTCGACCGAAACTGCGTGTTTCAAAATTCAAACGGGCATTTTATTTTTGGGATGTGTGTCCAACAGCTATAACATTATCAGACATGTCTGAAAGTCTATAAAAACACTTCAGAACTTCATTTAAATGTTGTTGCATACATTGAGAAAGAAAGTCTTGCAATCATAAAGCTTTTATCATATACACACACTTCATTTCATCAAAAGAGTATTGAACTTCAAGTTATTCATACATACTCTAGAGTGAGCTAAATCTTGTACTTCAGATCTGAGAGAGAGATCATCTTGTATTCCATTAATATACTTCAAAACTTGTAAGGGCTGGTGTGGCCCAAGGAAGACTAGGAAAAGGTGTTTCTCTTAGCACTTAGAAACTAGGAAGAGCTTCTTGTAAGAGGTTTGCTCTCCACCCGCAAGGAGAAGCCATAGTGAATTGGGAAGTCTCAAGAGGGGTCTTGAGCCGAGGAATAGGAGTTTCCGAACCTCGCTAAAAATCACTGAGTACATGTTTGCAACTTTTATCTCTATCTCTATACTTATTGCTTTATGTATGTCTTAATATGCCTCTTCATTAATGCTGACTATTGAAGTTTAAAATTCAGATTGCATCATTTATTATCTGTCAAAAAAATTGAGTTTGTCTTTAATTAATATTTTAAGATCGAAAATTAACCATAGTTTGCATAGACTCTATTCATCTCCCTCTAGAGTCTAAACTTGGGCAACAATATTTCACGCTGATTATTTATTTTCGTTTTTTTTTCTTCTTAATTACGATGGGTAGTTTTGTAAATCTACAATGAAGTCGGCCAGAATTGAATTTCACTAGTTAATTTGCACGATTTGAATAGTTGTGGTACTGACTTGTTCATTTTTGCAGTCCAGAGGGATAAAATGCCGATTTGTGATAGTTCGGGTTTTTTTTGCATTTTTTCCTTTATAGAATTTCATTATTATTATTTTGATAATTTACTCCAACAAAAATATTAATAATCAATCTTAAAATTAAAGCAAAAAAAATATATTAATCCGGTCTATATAAATGATCTTAATTAACTAACCAGTTTCACATAAAGCACACTCACCAACTTATTTGAACACAATTTTGAATTAGATGTTCGACAAAGTAGAAACAGAAATTAAACAACTTTAAATTCACATAATTTAGAGTAAAAATAATAAATTCTATTAATCAATAGTATTAATTAGTGAATAATAAGATTGTTGAAACAATAACTATGTATAAGCTTAAAATCCTTCGACCTATTTGGCAACAAATTAGTTACAAACATTGAAAATACATAAGTATATGTTCCTAATTATTAAAATGGCTACCAAAAATCAAACTCAATCCAAATTCATCTCGGCCTCAAACAAATATTTCAAAAAAAACTAAAGAACTCTTGTATAGTACTAAAAAAACACAAAAATGAATGAACAATTGTATTTGGTCAATAAATTCAACCCCCCGCATTATTTTCAATTAAGAATAAGTTTTGAGGGGTGAAATTAGGTTTCTCGAAACGTATCAAACCTCCATTTGAACTTTTCTATCCGTACTCACATTTCATCCATAAAAAAGTAATAATATATATAACAACATGAGAAAATATTTATACAGCGCTTTTACCCATTGTGGATGGTTTGAAAATTGAGATAATGGGACGCAAACACTAGGACAAGAAAATATGCTTATTATTTTCATTTTAGAATCTCTCTTCTTTGGGAGTACCCTTCATAATCTACCAATAATATATTCCGCATACATAATATCTTCTCCTCAAAGTTTTATATTCTCTTTTTTATTGTCGTTTGGTTGATGAGAAAATTGGAGGTCAGGCGTGTATAGCATGGAAATATCTCTCTCTCCAATGGAAATAGACACTACTTGTATCAATTGATTAGAAAAATTATAAGAAAGAAAAAATTTAGGGAGACATTTTTGTAAAATATTAGTAGCATTATATAGATTCCGACTGGTTTGCGTGAGATTTGGAATATGAGAAAAATGTTATAAAAATATTTTCATTTTTCACTATAATTTGTTTTGTTTTGTTGAATAAGAAAGTATTGGTTTACTAATTATGCATTTTTACTATAAGTACGTTGAAGGACAAACATCTAACTCTCACATTAAAGTTTCTAATTCCATGTGTGTACATGTCTATGTCATTTCAATTTCCATTTTTGCCCCAAAGAAGTATTGCATGCAAGAAAAGTTACTCAGAAAATGCATACACAATGTCAAAATAAATCATGCAGTTCGAATTGTTTTTGCTCATTTTATTTGTGCGTACCTTTAACAACAATAAGTTAAAAATTATGTCTTTCTTTTGTTTAATTTAAGAAAAATAATTTGATATTTTAGAATAAAAATTTGGAGAGTATTTTGGATCTGAACAATAATTGATAAATAAACTAATATAATAATACAAATTCCAATTGACAAACAGAAAAATGAAGTCTCTTCAAATTTCTATTAAGAACTCTTTTTTCTCCTATACTTCTCAGTTAATAGAATGCACTATTTAATTAATTCAAGATAAAACTCAACCTCTTCTCGAACAACCTGCAATAAAACATTCGGATTCCTTCAGCTTTAAACCGCTTTATCTGCCCTCGACTCTTTTGGCATAATGGATCTAAGGCCTTTCGTGCATGCACTGCCTCGTCTGGGGGTGGGCTATATAACAACAAGAAATCTCACCATCCATCTAATTATGTGAGATGTTTTTTTTGTTTTTCATTTCTATCGTCTTATGCTTTTCAAACCTACCATAATAGCATTAGGTTCCTCCAAAATATCACATAGCAAATTTGATAAATGTTAAAATTGAGTTCAAACCTACCATAATAGCATTAGTTTCCTCCAATATATCACATAACAAATTTGACAAATGTTAAAATTGAGTTCTCTGCGTGAGCAGGTTTGATGAAGTGCAAATTTGAAAGTTGCCATGAACAAACATAATGGACGCAAGCAATTGATGGCGCTAATAGCATTTATACCAATTTTGTCTGGTTTGTATGGGATTTGGAATACCACAAAAATGTTATAATCAAAATAGTAATATCCATTTTCTCCTATAAATTCTTCTGTTTTGTTGGGTAAAAAAGTACTATTGTACTAATCATGCATTTTTACTAATATTATGTTGAAGGACAAGTGTGTATATATATATATATATATATTCATTTCAATGTCCATTTTTCTTAATAAAAAATAAGTATGGCATGTGAAGAAAGTTAGTAAGGAAATATATACAGAATGTCAAAATTAATCATGAAGATTGAGTTGTTCCGGCTTATTTATATGTGCATCTCTCTTTACTCCTAAATATATAATTTTGAAAGTGCACAGACTAATTCTAAAACAAATGCAATTTTGATAGTTTTTATTTGATGTATAAAGGAAACTAAATGGTATTATGTTCGCGGAAAGAAGTGCATGTATGAATTGTGCATGTATGAATTGAACTAACGTCGACGAGAATAGAGTACGGGAAAGATGTTGCATGTAAAGATTGAACTAACTAGTAGGGATGGAACATAAAAAAAAAATGGGTTGAAAAATAAGTTGATTGATAATGTTGACCGCTATAACTTATAAAATGTTGTTTTACTTTAATATATATTATAACCAATTTTCACCTTTTTTTTTTTTTTTTTTTTTTTTTTTTTCATAATGTTTATTTGAAATTTTCTATTTGGTTACAACTACATTTATTTCATTTCAAGAATAAAAGTAACAAACTGGACACGGAAAAAACGTAGCCAAACAAATGCATAAAAGTTGCTGGAATTGGAACTCCCCATCAAGGAACTTATGTTTCTTCTTTTGATAGTTGGGGATGCGAAATGTTAAGCATTGTGTTATAGCTATCCTAGGAATTTCAACTCTTTTATTTGTTCTTAGTCTACCATAGCAGTTATGTGCATGGTGCATGGTTCGCTGTATCGTCCAATACGCAACCCTTTTTCAAGTCTAAAATTGGCCAGTTTACACAGACTTTGTCTGAGTCCATTACACCGCGACCGATATCGTGAACAATACTACGAACTAAGAATTGTGCATTAAAATGAAAACATACTAACGGTTCTCAGGTCTCAACAACGAACATGAACATACACGGTATACGCCTCAACACCAGTTCTAGATTTTGGCGATTCAGCTTCATCCATATCCCATTTCTATTGTAATGACAACTTTACAACACACTGTTTATCAGGATCGATTTCCATTTCAAGTCTTAAACTATGCTGCAAAACCACTTATTTCTAGTAAGTTTGTGTTGGTAAAAACAATCATTTTATAATTATATCTGGAGCCAACATGTATATATAGCATTCACCATCAAAAACCACCTGCCCAGTTCTGAATCACCTCTAAGTTCCATGATTTAACAGTCTCTATTTGTTCTACACTATTCTTGAAGACAAAACAGATAATTGGGGTAGGTTTGATGAAATGCAAATTTGAGAGTTGCAATGAACAGGCGTAATGGACAGAGACTAACTAAATTTTCATGGAGGGTTAAAACACCCTCAAGAGGATTCATGACGCTTCAAATGTGAGGGTATAATATTATTTTCAGTTGATTAAGATCACCTCTTCAAACACGAACTTAAAAATTTACATTTATGCTAGTAAAAATGAGGGAAAAAAAAATGCAGAATATCAACTTAAAAGAGAAGCATATTTCATTAGTTACATATAGATCACAAGTTGTAATTGGTGTGACTTTTCAACACAATACATACTTCACATCCAATTTTACTAGCATAAGGGATTAAAAGGGAAAAGAGAAATGAAAATGGAAAAGGGAGCCAAGTACCTAATTACGCCAAGTACCTAACGATGCCTTACAAAGAATATATAATATCAGAAGGCACTAAATTTTAACAAAATAAGATTATTGGGTAACTAACTCTTCAATTGATAAATTTGAATTTCAAGATCTTTTTTTTTTAGGAATAAACCCATCTCTTTGTGAGCTGTGTGCAAACTAGTTCTCTCCTAGGTCTGGTATCATAAATATAACTCATGCTCCAAGAAATTTATCACCAGAATTTGTACTTACGAGCTTTTCATCTTGAATTCTTTTTAGAGGAATACCAGAGTTTCTTCTGGCAAATCAGTACCTTCTCCTTCTCAACGCCATACTCGGTGTCTTCTTTACGGCATTGCCATCTCATCCCCTTGGCAATTGTAGCGACAGCATCTAGAAAATAGCTGGATTCCCGGATGATTGCATAACCATTAGGCCGCAGGATTCGATCCATTTCCAATAGCACGTACTTCATGTCACATCTGCCCAAGCCATAACTAATGTCAGAACCACAAAAACTGTCACCAATGAGAACGATTGCAATGATTGTATTTGCTGAAACTAAATTTTCATAATTTTTGTATGAATTTTTTTAGGTGCTGTAGTACTAAGAGAATAAGGAATACTTCAAGTCAAGCAGGTTGCATCATTAATCCTACTCTCCAGCAAGAACTAGCCATAAGCTATACTATTTCCTAAGTTATCTTTGCTCATTGATTTAAAAAGAATAAAATTTATCTGGAATGGATAAGTATGGTTAATTAGTGACTAAGTTCAAATCTAAATTTTCATAAGCTTTCTTATAGATAAAGTTCAAATTCCAACATTAAGTAGCGAGGCTATTTTCTTTTGTCTTCTGGTGTTGACAAAGTAGGTAATCTGTTCCATTTTTCTTATTTTAAAGACTAGGATAGACTGCTTGGGCACTCGAATATTTCTGGGCACAAAGGGTACTTTTTAACATTTTCAGTATATTAATATTAACTGTTGTTGATGAATGTAAAGATCGAAACCACAACCATGACAATGAAAAATGGCATTCTCTTTATAGAACTGCTGCAGAGCCTGATGCCAAATCACACCATAAAGAAAATGATCAAGCATATCCTTGCAGACAAACAGAAGAAATGAAGGAAACTTGAGCAAAAATGCCCTACCTGTGGCTTTCAGCAGTAAAGAAGTCATCAAGGTGAAGGAGATCATATGTTCTCGGATACGTTGAGAAAGCCTCACACCTACAAAACATCAAAGACGAATTAACATACTATGCCACCTTCGGCCATACAAAGAATAAGTTGCATGGAAGGCCAAAATCTATACCATCCATGCACACTTGAAACTAAAATCTGTATATAGATGCATTGAAATTACCAGTCATGGTAGGTTCCAATAAGGCCCCTGTCATAAACCACTGGAAGGGTGTTGGCAGCATAAGAAGAGACCACATTCATAACCCACAAGGGAGCATTGATCAAAGCCGCAGCAAAACCTCCATAAAGTGTATTCATGTCCATCACATTTCTTATCTGATCTGTCCCAATCACAGGGAGTAACTTCTTGTAATGCTTCACGCGCACCTTCCACTTAGTCTCATCATGCTTGAAAGCACCAGTGCTGCCACCATGACCATTATAAATGCGTTGAGGTGCAACACTCAAACGCTCGGGCCATTTAGGGAGAGATTTCAACCCTAGTTTTTTAAACTTCGGGCTTGGAGCAACAACACAAGGCCGAATAGGAGTGTACCATGCTGAATCTGGTTCAGTGCCATCATCGCACTTGGGTGGGTAGGCATCTGACCTAGCAAGCTTGTTATAGCAGCTGTTATTTGAAGTTTTCTGCCACACGGCAATATCACCTCTTTGGTTATATAAATTGAAGCACATAGAAGTTAGCAAATCTTGCAACTTTTCGTAATCGCGTTTCTGCTCTTCCACAGTTGTGTTCCATCCTCTCCAACGACGTTGGTAGTTCACTGGAGGACCAGAAAGAACCCAGAAGCCTCCAGGACGGAGTATACGGTGTATTTCTAGAAGATAGACTCCACCTGAAAATAATTATATTTCCAATGGTAAAAAATGCCTGGTGGTAATAAATTTGCAATGGAGGTAGGACTCTTATAAATTCCTCAAGCACACATGATAAAACATTTATTCAGTGCTTAAGTTTTACAAAGTTTGTGAATGGATGATCCTATATGTGGGTGGAAAAGGTAATGAAGTATGATCTCACAAACACATACAAAAATAGAAACTATTGAGGAAATCTAATCTTTTTTTTTTTTGATAAGTAAGATTTTATTAAAAACGCTCAAAAGGGGAGCGAAGCCCAAAGAAACAAAAGGAAAGGAAATCTAATCTAAAATGATCATAATGCTCTTTTCGCTTGAAGGTTCCAGAGTTAGTTTTACCCAAGGCAGTGTCAACCAAAAACTCCACTTATGATGTAGGGGTTTAAATGAAAAAGAGAAATAAAAATTTAGATGATGCATAAATGAGAGATACCTGAAATCTAAATTTAGTGCTCTAATAGAAAAATAAAGTTTGCGAAGGAGGATAGATGTTGAAATAGTTAGGTAAGGCACTTGAACTGAGTTGGATAATATTTTTGAAACAATCCCAGAATTAAGAGAATAAGAAACACATAATTTGGTAAATGCTCCCAGTGTCTACTGGATTGTGCAATTTGGTCCAAATTAGATTGCAACCATGGGTTGAGAATGATTACTTACCAAATTCAGTCCATGGAATAAGGCATCTTGAGCAATGAGCCATATCAAAAGAGTTAGAGGGGAAAGGAAGTCGCTGTGTTGAAATGATGCCTAGAATTGCAGGAATCCCACGTTCGAGAGCAAATTGGACTTGAGCCTCGTGATTATCTCTAGGGGCAAGAGAGACTGTTAGCACCCCACGATCTAGCAGATCACCTCCCCAGCTAGCAACCTACACATAAAATAATTGCAAAAAGTAAATAACATAAGTTCTCTAAGTACATCATCATTTTGCCCATAGTATAATTCTTTCATCAAGAACACCCGTAAGCAAAATGAACTGCACCAACTAAAGCACTAATTCTGCAGAATATATTTAACTTAGGTGTTTCTGATTGAGCTTTACAAATTAGAAAGCAGAGCTCACCTCTAGTCTCATTACCCACTCAAGTAATTGTTACCTATGCAATGTAAGTTATGTAACACATAAAGAAGAATACATCTGCAATATCATCTTAGTTTAAACACTCTGTAACAACATTTATCCTTGCAAGCAAATAGATACGGAAGAGAGATTTTTCTTGCATTAACACATACAAGTCAAACTGCAGTATGTTCAATATTCTTCCAGATAAATTTGTGCCTCTTGAAGAGAAAAAAATAATAATAATAATTTGTAGTGACAAATGTATAACTTCGTTTTATAAAAAAAATACAAAAAAATGTGTCTTGAAGAAAAACCATCATTTCAAGTAAACATTTTTATAATTTAACTTCCGTCTGACTGAATCATAAGCAGTATTCTGTGAATTATCAGCATTAGAACATCACAACCATCAGGAGTCTCAATATATTTCATATGCATAATCCAATAAACAAACAAGATAATAAAATAAAACTCACCCCACATCCAGTATCAATGGCAGTTCGAACTGTCCCATCTTTCATTTCTGGGATCAGATCTTCCATCACATCGACATAGGCACCGACGCCTCGTGGGAACATAGTACCCCCACCAGGGAAAAGAAACTTCTCCCCTTCTTTCCTAAGCCAGTTCTGATTAGACTTCTGCTTGTTGATCCAATCATAAGGCACATTCCTAAAACCACAACCAAATGGTAAAAACTCAAAAATTATGGAAGTGAGTCTAATCCAAACAATTCAAAATTTGAAAGCCAGCAAAACATTTAAATAAGAACCCTTCTAAGAACTGGAAACATGCCATATTACCTGTACCAACATTCATTCCTGCTCTTTGGCCATCTGATTGGCACCTTGTACCCATCTGGTGGGGGGACCAAGCAGTCTTTTCTTTCGAACACCGGAGGGCAATGGCGTTCCATAAATGTAAGCCGGTAAGGACCATACTTCTTCCATCTCTAAAACAAATATAGAAGTCACCGATGAGGAGAGTTTGATATTATATAGCTAAATATCAGATCAAAAAGAACCTCAGTGCAATAAAACCCAAAATGAGAAATACCTTTGGATCTGTGCATGGAGTGTAGTCTTGATAGTCATCGCTGCACTCGTGAAAGGTTATGGGTTTAATTTGGAGAGGGCCAACACCAGAAACTGACTGTTTTAGGGTTTGGAACGCTTTGGTGACATCGCCCGCAAGAAATCTGTCTTTCTCCGAGCAGAAGATTCCACCAAGATAGAACGAACACCCACATAGCGCAACAAACATTATTGTAATGGAGAGTATCTTGGAACTTTTCTCAGATTGAGAAGCTGGTCTGCCAGCATTTTGCTTCATGGTCCCAAGATTTATTAACTATCTGCACATTTGAAATACACGATGTAGAATAAATCTTTGGAAGAATACATGGAGGCACCCACTTGAGAAAAATCTTACAAAACTAGCAGAAATTTTCAAGCTCCAAACAAGAAATTTCACCAATAGTCTACTTGAATGTCGAAAAGTGAAAATGAAAATTTCGGTGACTTCTAGCAGCCAGACAAAACCGAACGTGTTAGAAGATCCTTAATTTTCAGTTCTTTACCTATGTGACTATGTCCTCTCATCAATTAACTGATCATAAAACAAAGTAATTGAACTGATTAAACAAATTTACAAGTTTATGCATTCTAAACTAATAATTAAATTATTGATTAAATAGTCATCAACACAGAGCATCAAGGAAATTGACCCATTAACAATACTTGTGCATTTATGCAACACCTTCAGAAATATACCCACTCATAAATGATTAATCAACTGACTGAACAAAACTCATTAATTCATATCACAGAAAATCGGAACAACTGAATCGCAGCAAACCGAGATCAGTGACAATGATACTTGAGTTTCTAGGTTCAGATTATAATTATAGAAAAATCCATTGAAAGAAAAGAGACCGGAAAAGCTAATTAAAGCTCGAAGCACCATTCACATTCAAAGAAAAAGCAGGGGATTAATTAAGATCTAGTCAAAAAACAGACCATTAAAATGACTATGAAAACTACAAAACTAGAAAAAATCTAAGAGCAACTACCGACATTCTGTGCTTTTTCGATGTTACTTTACATGTTTTCACATGACATTGGGCCCTCTTGCCCACTAAGTCAAAAGATGATGAAAATTAAAGCAATCAGTCTCATACAAATTATACAAAGGCTAAGAAACACAAAAAAGGGAAAACATCATAAATATTGTATGTTCAGTGCGTAGATTATTTAATCATTCCTTCAAACCAAAGAAAAGTTGCAATTATTGCTGTTTTTCTTCCAAATAATCAAAACTTTATCAAGTAAAAAAGCAAAAGCATATGGTACCAAATCATACCCACACAAAAATTTACCTGAATTTCCTACAAGTTGTGCTCAAACATGGACAATTTACCAAAGAAAACACCCATATATACACAGAGGGATAGAGATAATTAAAGAACATTGTATAATATTAAGAAGTTCTTTTTGTTTTTTCCTGAATTACAATAATTGACACCCCAAAAATGTTTACTATATGATCATCTAAGAAAAATAGATTACGGTATAAAATGACCCCTCCCAAAAAAAAAACAATCTTTTTGGAAAAATAGATCTGCTCTACAAAACTAAGCAAAACCCATTTGGAATTTAAGCAAAATTTGACAAACAAACAAAAAAAAACGAAAACAAATGGAGACAGAAAAAGATTGATGTGGATGCAAAATTAACAAGAGAATGCAAGGATTTGAATGAGATCTAATAGAAGAAAAACAGTAGCAAAGCAACATGACGAGGATGAGAGAGAAGCTGTACCTTTCTTTCTCTCTCTATATATCTATATAATGTATACGAATATATATATTCCTCCTCCTCAGCTTCAGATGTATGATGTATGTATCAGGTGATTTGTAAGCAAAACACTCGCAATGTCCTCTTTCTACGTACAAATGTTGCAACACAACGTTTCACAATAATCAAGACGATGATGAGGTAGATGATGGATGGGTATGGGCTGGAGATCTCCCACACGGAAAAATGAGAGAGATATCATGGACGTGGAGATAATGAGGGCCCAATGACTCAGATATCTGGAGACATCACACGTATATACACACATATACATATACTATATAATACACACACATACAGATACACAATTACACATACAGAGCAGGAATCTTAAATAAAGTCCTGTCCTTTACTTTATTGCACAACTTTAAGGTTCCCTTTATATATATATATCAACTTTTTATTTTATTTTATTTACTTTTCTTCTTTCTCTCTCTGTAATGTGAAAGTAAATTTCATATCATTTAGCTAAAGAAGCGAGGTCGAAATGATTTCTAGCATTGAGTGCAACCCAATAGCTCTCGCATGTTCCTAGGCTTGATTTTTTTTAATTATTTATGGATGATAAATAAAAAACTAGATGATAAATAAGAGTTTAAGTTTATTTAATTATTTATTTAATACTCCATATTATTTAGGTAAATACTAACAATAAATATATTCTTACATATTCACCCAGTCCACTATGAGGTCGTTTTTAACATTTTTCCGAAACTTTTTTTTTTTTTTTTCATTCAATGATCAATTCCATAAATTTATGATATGTTTTGATTTATTTATCATGAATTTTTCTTGGATGAGTTGGTGATTTTTTTTCTTGGAGTTATTTTAGTCTTTTTTGATAAGGAGAAAGGAAATGTTTGTTAGGAAAAAAAGGATGGTATTGTTTGGAATAGATAAAAAGGAAAGCCTTTAGATAACTAATTGAAAAGTAAAATAAAAGTTGGTGCTAATCTTCCACTTCCACATATATTGTTTAACATAGGAAAGGAAAAACAAATTTTATCATATAAAAAATAAAAAAAGAAAATAAAAAAGAAGAAGAGAAAAACAAGTAAACCCAAACTCTTTCAGTTTTCCCTTCCAACCTTCCAATTGCAGAAGGATAATAAAATTTCATTACTTATAAAATATCTCCTACCTATTTATTCTTTTAAACTTTTAAACCAAACATAAAGAAAAAAAAAAAAAATGGTTCTCAATTTATAATTTGTGGTAACATTTTTGTTTTTCTTCAAATATTGATAATGCAAAGGCTCGAAACCAGGGCTTTTAAAGACAAAGAGAAACAACCCTACTACTTGAGTTATGAAGACATTTTATATTTAAATGTTGTAAGTGAAAAAAAAAATTATATATATATATATATATATATATATATTTTTCTTTTATTTTTTGAATTGTTGCTTTAGTATTTATTTCCATTCTCCAAACTAGTCTGTTATCATTGAGCTCATTTTTTTATCCCGTAAAAATAAATAAGCGAATTATTTTTATTTTTCTTTTATTTTTTGAATTGTTGCTTTAGTATTTATTTCCATTCTCCAAACTAGTCGGTTATTCATTGCGCTCATTTATACAATGACGGAGATAAATGATGAGGAAGAAGCAACATAAATAAGTATTTAAGCGAGGCCTTGTCGGCACTTGTAAACTCATTATATCACTTAGAAAGTAAAATAAAATGTTGTTGGGGCCTTTTTGGCAATCTTCTTCAATTATTGGGGGACAATACTTAAGTGGATTTATATCCTCGTTAATGTAGATTAATAAAAAGCGAACATATCGATCTTCTATCTTCTTTAATAAAAAATGGTAATAAAAGAAAATATGTTCATTTTTTATTAGTTTATATCAACAGTGAGATGATGTACAACGTCATTGGTGAGGATCCAAATATAATAATATCTTAATATAAAATTAATTATCTTAAATGGATTCATTGAAAAATAGTTAGGTGTTGTAGAAAAAATTTATAAAGAAAAATGACGCATCATTCTAATTCAAAAGATGTGAAAAAAAGATGAACTAAATAAATATGTGAATTTCATCGCATGACATTATATATCTCTTTTATTATATTATTGTGATCAAATTGTGAGTCACATTTATTTAAAAGTAATATTTATTTTGAAATAAAGTGAGTATTTTTTAAAAAAATAAATAAATTTACAAGACATGCAAGCACTATAAAATACAAATACAAGCACTGCGTGTGGACGAGGGTGTGTATATATGTATCACACAAGTCTTGGCTTGTGGATGTGATTTAGTTGATGGACAGGTTGATTGAAAACAACATTAATGAACCCCATAACATTATTGAAATCATGGTGTTGGTGTGGCATGTCACGTGATATCTATTATAGTCTATACAATACAACTATGAAGTGACTGACAAAGATTGCTTATACATCAGCAGCAAATTAAAAACAAGCATGCACGTTGTCTCTCTCCTATTTATACTTTCTATAATTGAATAAAGTAATGCATATGAAAAAATATCAAAATCCATATCACCGACACTGTGTTAGTTTAATATGGGCTTGCTTTAATTATTATTTGCTTGGGACACTCGTATACTTTATATATAATAATTATTATAGTATAGGCATTTATTTGGGAAAAGGGGAATTCATAGGCATTAATTTGGGAAAAGGTTTCCTAAAGTATACTTAGAAAATTACTAGTACTAAATTGTACTACAGTATTGAGTAAGTAAAATTGAGACAACTTTGTGAGGAAGGCTCATTCTACTAGGCACAATTGATTAATTTTGGATCAGAAATTATTTTATGCCAATTAAATAAACACAATTGATAAAAGTAATTTTATAATGAGGGCACGCTTGCTGCACTCATTTGGATGGATGAAAACGCCTTCGTCATTTTTTATCATTATTACTTTATTTTATTTTGTTAGTGCGGTGTTAATTCATTAGTAAAATATGTATTGCTTGAAATTTTTGTTTTTCCTCTTCCTTTTAACATCTAATTCGGACAAGTCAAAAAATAGTACTAATAATAAAATAAATAAATATTTTTTGAATATTAATTTTCCTGTTGGACGGAGACGGTTAATTTATAAATTTTTTCAATCTTTTTTAAAAACATTAATTTAACAATAGAAGTCAAGGAAACTCACCGACTCTCTCTCTCTCTCTCTCACACACACACACACACCACTGTTTTTAAATATACAAATTCAACAACAAAAGTCAACAATACTCACTCACACACATGCGCATAGTGAAGTGAGAGAGGAATTCAAAGGTGAAATGAGTTCACTTGTTTGGGTAGGTCTCCAAAATGGTGCAGTGAGAGAGACCAAAATGGTGGGTCTTTGAGAAGTCCAACAAATTAAGATGATAAGGTGACCTATGCTGATTGCCGCAATCAGCGGCTTATTTAGATACATGAATATTGTGTGATATATATGTACATACATATGTATGTAATATGTATAGAGGTGGTTTAGGACCTGTCGCTATTAAATGTATGTATGATTGCATCTAGCAATTGTAACGTTGTGCATGGCATTAGCGTATTTGGTTGATTAAATAAAGGTGGTAAACTAATGGAAAGGAATGGTGTTTTGGGCCACAACTACATGTTTCAACTCTACTGATGTTGTTGCTTTGGACTGCTACACGGTTCAGTCACCGTCAATAGAAACAAGAGTAGAGGGTTTCCAATTTTCATTTTGTTGAAACCATTTTTTAATTTGGTGGTAATTAAAATTTAATTTTATTTTAATCTTTTGTGACCATAATAACTTACAAGTCTCGCAAGTGGGTCGGAGTTCTATTGAAAGAGTAAAAACTGGTGGAACCCAAATTACAAAAACATGAAAAATCTCACTATTCCTTTCACCCAAAAAAATAAATAAATAAAACCAATTACATATACTTAATAACACACTTCTAGTGACCAAACTGTCCTGGCATGCTATGTTCGTTCATTGATGAAAATAACTTATCACTTTGTGCTTAAAATGACAGTTTGATCATGAAAAAAAATTATAAGCAATTTATTTTCCTACTTCCACATTCGTGAAAATGGGAACTGGGTTCTATATATATATATATATATATAATTTGAGGTCCTTAAATCCAGTGCCATTGCCTATTGATGTTGAATTGCAAAAACTAAATGCCAATGTAAGATGGAGGTAATTTCATTAATTTGAATGTCCCATCCGACCATTTTTGGGGTTCAAGCACACGCAGTTGTTTTGTTATGTGACACAGTTCCAGTCATCCTTTGAGACTTCTTGTCCAGAGAGGTTGGCTATCAAATCATGAACTCACTAAAATCTGCCTACTCTTTGCTATAGTCGGATCAAAATCCCCACCACGGTAGTCATCTCCCCACTCCCCTCCCCTTAGTGATGTACATTACATATGGGACTCAACGGCACAACATTTTTGTAAGGTAAAGGAGACGATTTTAGTCCCCGCTATAGTTGGTGCAAAAATGTTTCGCTAGCTAGTTAGGCCCTAAAATTGTAGAGACTTAATTATTAACAAAAACTATGATTTCTTGTTAATCTAAGGTTGATTTCATCATGCATTTCGTCTATGAAATCAATGTACAAAGTCAGCCTGAATTTCACTACAATAAACTGTGCAATTCAAAATGATGTCAAGAAACCATATAGAACTTATGGGAAATAATTTACAGGAACAAGAAAGGGAAGTAACATACTTCACAAGATTTGTTCACAAACCAGGCCATCAAGCCTAAAACATGCTTACATCATGAAATAAAATTTTAACTCAAAACTATTATTACTTGGAATGCCAAATCATGGTTCCAACCGGCTGCTGTCCAGAGGAAACACAGCAACAAAGACTCCTCGATTCAAAATACATTGGCTGGAACACATCTTCATATAACATGCATCATCTATTTGTACAGAGTTGTAGTTCGTTTCCAGCTACTAAACTCAAAAGCCACCTACCCGTTGCTTTGGAACACCGCCATACCTTCCAGGTGTAACGCTGCTACCACTTCCATAAGCTGGGGGAGCATTGCTCACACCAGGACAATCTTTTGCCCAATGCCCAAACTGATGGCAGTTATAGCACTCATTAGAGTTGCCAACGGCTCCTGCCCCATTGCCACTTCCGTAAGCTGGGGGAGCACTGCTCAAACCAGGACAATCTCTTGCCCAATGCCCAATTTGATGGCATTTATAGCACTCACCAGAGGCACCTGCACCAGCAGATGCATTATTAACAAAGCCACCTCTGTAAGACTGTCCCTGGCCACTCATAACACTAGGGCAGTTTGTAGAGCTATGCCCAGTAGCACCGCAGCTGTTACAGCTCAGATACATGCCAGTGGAGCCAGATGCAGTAGGCCTAGAACTACCATATTGGTTCCCATACTGACCCACCTGATTTGCTGGTAATCCAGTTTCTTTATTAGCATTGCTACCCATATAATTCACTACAGGTGATGCAGATTGTCTAATTCCAGCATTAACATATCCAGTACTATTTAATCCAGTGCTCGGGATGATGTTATCTGCCTTTGGACCTAGAGAGCTGCTGCTATCCACTTTCAGCTTATCCATCAAATCCAGAAGGAACCTGGACTCTGATGAGAAATTAACCTTCTCTGCCTTGACCACCGTCGACTTTACACGTTGTTCATCACTAAATGTTTCCTCCTTCACCTTCAGCTTAAATATATATTTATTAAACAGAACCTTACGCACAATTTCTCCAAATCTCTCGTCATCTTGCTCTTCGTATTTCATATAATACATATCCTTCGCAGATATGCCCATGACCTCCTCACCACTTTCCTGAAATGCAGAAACCCATGTTAAGCCGGTATGGTCCTGTATCTGAAACTGAAGAATATACCTGTAGTCACACTCATCAACCAATTGATCACACCTATCACACCGCCATTTCCCATCCCCATTGTTCGTAACCTTCTTGTTGCATTGCCGATCCCCAATCATGATGGGACATGCTGTATAACAGAAATTGTCAACTTTTATGAACGAAAGAGTAGCACTAACAGTTATCCAATCTGGCTTCTCAGAAGTTCCCAGCTTTTCATCTTTTATCTGAGAGATAGTCTTTCGGACATCTGTCCTGCCCATATTTGTTGTCTCCCTGGATATAGAGACAGCTGGGGTATTTTTACCTTCCTTTTCAAACCATTCTTTCAACCTGTGAGCCTCTGGAAAGTCTGGTTCTATGAAGAGCTGACTCGTAAATATGGTCCCCACTGCCTTCCCATTAAAATCACTGACTCTACCAGATTTCACGGCCAGAACAGGAAATACCCCAGAATCACACATATTTTGCAATGTAAGTCCTTCTGCATTGCAGAAATTTCCCCACAAAGTTAATTCAACACTTCGGCCAGACATGTCTTTTAACTGGAGGACTCTTCTTTGAGTTTCAGTACCATTTTTTCTCATTATTGAACTAGTGGGACCGACAAAAGACACCACTCCAATCACATCCACAACATTGTTGTTCTCCATTCCTTCAACATCACTTATAGGACGGAAATGAAATTGTTGCTGTGGAATTGACTTGTCATCCTCAAAGCAAGGTTGCACTGTTGATGTACTCTCCAGGAAAATTTCGTGATCATTACGAAGGTGATTGAAAGCCTTTTGAGCAGGTTTCAAGCTTCCTTTGGAAATCAAATACACTTTACCATGCTCAATTTGGTTGTAGAATTGATCAGCAACAGCATTGAAGCAGGTCACGCGAATTTCTCCTCCATCAGAATCAAGAAGATCGAAAGAGAATACTTTACCATCCCCCCGAGGATTATTGTAGTGCCTAAGATCCCCCTTTGCTGTCACTCTGGCCTTGATTGTCCACCTACCCTGATATGGATTCAAAGCAGCAATAGGAATAATCCTCGCAGGAGCTTCATTCTTAGCTACAGGTCCTCTGTTTGTGTACATTGGAGGTGGCTGTTGATATCCTACCTGAGGACGCACATAACTATTATTTAGAGGAGGCCGCGAAATCCCAGCACTATTATTAATCGCATTATATCGTCCTGATTCAGAATTGTTGGCAAAAGAATTATCATAGGAGTGTGACCCTGCACCATGCTCTATTTTAGGGTTGAGTGGAAGAGTTCCCCCAGCTACATTTGGTTTAGTAATTGAGCCACCAGCAAGAGAACCACCAGTATAAGATGGAGGATTACCAGCAACTGTCCCTGGCTGATCCAGGTAAGACTGTACTGGAGCAGATCTTGCCACTGGAGCAGGACTACTATTACTATCAGGGCGATCATACTGTTTTGGTTCGCCAATAGGATCACACTTTTCAAGTATCACATCCAAGTCGATGATAATAATAATCCTGCTTATCAAAGTCATCAACAATAACATAATACCTTAGCAAAAAAAGAAATATAAAAAAATAATAATAATAACATACTGAAGGCAAAAGATAAGAATGGAACATAAAATAACAGATGAACTTTATACACACATTTGTCAAGTGGATCAGAAACTTTTGTAGTTATTATAGTAAGGATCGTATGCCAATAAATAAACAATTTTTTTGTAAGATTAATTATAAGGCAGCAATTGAATGGGGCTGAGCAGAGTAGCAGCAGTATCTGGCTAATTAAAGCCTGTTCAACCCAGCTCGAGCCGACCCAAGAAATTGGACAAGTAGCCCCAAAAAGGATTCCAGCGAGCATCAAAGCATGTGAACAATGGCCTATGCGCAAGTGTTTAGGTTCGGCATAAATAAATCATTTTCCAATATATTTTCTTAACGACCATTACAACGTTCAATGTGCCACAAGTAACTTTGAAGCACTCACATGGACAAGAACATTCAACAACTTAAGAAATTAATAATGTCAGCCTAAGATAACAATTGAACGAATACAATCATACAGTAGATAACCTACGAAGAACGGATACTTCTATAAGGGAATCTATTAATAATTTTGTATCAAATACCAATATTCCTTGAATGCTTCTGGATAAGTTTACAATACTTCCCAAATATATCTAAAATTTATAATTGCAAAACCCTTAAGTAAAATTTGAAATTAGTAAGTCTCAGTTATTCTTGCTCACAGGGAGAGAGATTGAAAACGAGGGGAAAAGAAACATAAGAAAATAAATTTCTTGTAGAACGCAAGAACCTCTTAAAAAAGAGGTAGTTTCATTCAAAGCACAAGTTGAATTAATTATCATATGACTGTCTGTGTTCATTTTGTCTAACCTCTGGTTTTGAATACATCTTTGATTGATTTCCACCAACTGAAATTCAAATTTATTCAGAATTAAATTGAGTTTATTTTACAGAAAGTAACAATTTCAACGTTAAAGGTTTCATATTTGTTCCACAAATTATATGAATAAATAAAAAGAAAAAAGATGTCTACATTATTAGGAAGTATGACATTGATTGTTGATTTTTCAATATAAGGACGCCAAGAGGAGCCTCAGTAAAATAACCATATAACACATTTTATCCCATAACCTAGAGAGGATTAGACAATGCTAAACCCCTATCAACAAGGAAACTCTAGCATAGCAAGATGTAGAAACGCCAACTAATGAACAATAAATATGTATTGGAAATAATTATTTCTCTTAGTAGATTTCACCATACCAGCAATAATCCAACAAATTTACTCACCAAAACCCCCTTTGAAGAATATCCGTATAGATAATATTACATGGCAGTGGTGAAAGACTTTTGTTCTCCATAGTCGTTCATAATTTTCATTAGTAGTCTAAATACCCACAGTTCAATTAAGGACAATTCTGCTCCTCCTGGAAAATCATTCCTAAAAGCTGCACCTCTCATTATTTTATTTTTTTATTATTATATTTTTTTCATATATATATTTTTTTTTGACAAGTAAAAGCTGCACCTCTTTATTACTAGAATCAAATAACAATTCTCCTTAAAAATGGTCATCAACCACTTGTTCTCAGTTGTTAGCCACACTCCCTTTGTTCTGAATCAATATATTTGTATTATCCCACTTCAACTGATATAGGTTTCACAATTACCAAAAAGACATGATTTTGGTAAAACATTGTAGCATCAAAACAGCACTATAATTATTTGCACATCATGATTTCAAGCTTCGCAACAGATAGTTGCAAATCACTTAATGAAAGCAATTATTCATTAGCCACTATATATGTAGAAACACACACACACACAACAGACATGTATAAGTGATTGAGACCTACACACACAACACATAATGAAACCCCATTTTATTTCCTCATTTTCCTTCACTCCGTCATTTCATGCTTTGCAGCAGATATATGCAAGTCACCTAATGAAAGCAATTATAAATTGACCATTATATATATATATATATATATATATATATATATATATATATATATATATTCCTAGTTGGTACTCATACACACATGCCTCCGTTGAGGCTCGAACCCTGACCTTTCTTTGAGAAGTAGGGGCTTAGTACCACTAGGCCACTGGCCTGTTGGTGTGTGTGTATAGAAGAAACACACACACAACATAAATGTATACGTGATTGGGACTTGCATACACACATATTAAAACCCATCTTTCTGCCTCATTTCCTTCACTCCACGATTTCATGGTTTGCTGCAGACATATGTAACTCACTAAATATTATAGACTAAATATACAGATACACATATGGGTGTTGTGACTTACATGCGTTTCTGGATGATATTGCAGACGAACTGAGTGAGTTGAACAACAGAACCCTTCTGCAACTTCTGGGATCTGACCAAATCGTTCTTCTGCGTCGCGAGCATCCCCTGCTGAAGATGCAACCCATCCGACAGCAAAATTCGATACCTTTCGTTGTTCGATTGGTGCTGTGTGTTCACTAACCTAATGTCCGCGACTTGAAGCACTGGCTTCACATCGGTCCCTTGAGCTTCCCCACTCGACAGTATCGCTATCGCACCGTCCGTCAGATTGATTGCCATCGCCAAAATTTTCCCGAGAAAAATCTAGGGTTTTGACGGAAATGAATGTGAAGAGAGTAGATGGTTGAAACCGCAGAGATTGGATCTAGAGAGATAAAGGGAGAGAGAGAGAGAGAGAGAGGGAGACGGTGGGTTTTGAAACCCTAGGAATTAGAGGCGCCAGGAATTTTGAGAGGGAAATCGTGAAAGCTCTATTGGGGTTTTAAGAATTTTCGAGGCTTTTTGAAATGCCCTCCATGTCCTCTGTCTCTTTGGAGAGGTTTCCTCGGCTCAAACTTCCAAAGGAAGCATTTACTGCCACGTGGCGATACGTGGAGCATGTACGTGTCGCTTGATTAACTCTTTTTAGATAAAGTACAATAAAATTTGTTAGAAGAACACACAAACGAAAGTTAGCCTATTTTAAAATAAAAACAACCCTCGTAAGAAATTCTATCTAAACAAGACGAAATTACCTCTTAATATTAAAATTAAATTTATTATAAAATATCAGATATAATAAAACACGCAATTGCTCTCTTCTCTCTCTCTCACCCCCTATTCTTCTTCACCTTGACCTTCATCCCTGCCTCCAAACCTAATACCCATGTCGTCGCAGGCGCTGGTTCTCCAAAAATTCAAAATGCATCAACTCTACCCAGATAAATAAAATACAGCACTCCACATATATCCAAACATACAATTAAAAATATATATTTTAAGTAATAATTAATCACGGCTTTGACCAACAAATTATTGTATTCTGAACCTAGAGTTCAAGAAAAAATTGTCCATAATTTGTTTATTCAACAACCATTAAAGATATAAATTTTGGGTGGTTTAATTTATTTGGGTGTTTTTACATATTATACGGTTTGGGAAGTGGCGGATCCCGACGGCGACTGGGCCCACACGCGCGGCTGGAAGAGGCTCAGGAACGGCGATGCAAGGAGTCCGGCAGTGATGAGGACGGTGAAGGATGATGGGAACTGTCTCTTCATGGAATCGTTAAAGAGGTTGCCGGTCAGAAATCTGATGTTTATGGGTTCGTTATGCTTGCACTTGAAATCGTTGCCGGAAAGAAAAATGCACACTATGCGAAAGTGGTGGTCGTTGGCGACGGTGAAAAAAACTGTTCCAACTTCCAACATCCTTCATTCAGCTTGATTATAAGGTGCAGGGGGCAAGCGTACACATCAGCAGCCATAACTTTGAAAGGGATGAAATAGCTTGTTAATATAGGTAGGTAGTTTATCCAATTGGGATGCTTGCTTGGCGGGTACAGGAGATAAGAAATGTTTGCCTGCTCAACCAATAAGGAGAGACGGCGCAGGCTTATACAGGGAAGACCAAGAAGGTGGGAGAAGGGTGGGTTGGTGAGCATAGGTAAAAAGGGTCATTTTAACATTTAAATAGGTTAATATTAAAGTTAAAGGGTAAAAATGTCCGCTCATTGCCATTGGGGGTAAAAATGTCCACTCATTGTCCTTGGTAACTTTATTAAACTTGAGGTGATGTCTTTGTCCTAAAATAGGTTAAATTTTATCTGTTTGTACTTTTAATAAACTTCAGCGGTGTTGGTGTACTTTACCCCTCTTCTTATTACAGGGTAATATATATATGGAATTTCATAAAATCATAAACCATTTTTAATGAAATTTAACTATAAAATGTTTCATTCTTTGATATTTTTTTATTATTAGTCTACATCAATAAGTATATTATAAATCCTCACTAAAGTCTTAATTATCAAAGTGACTTTGTTGAGTATCTTTGGATGAATGAAATTGGGGTTGAATTGGCGGAAAAATTAATTTAAAATTTAGCTGGTCCTGCAACCGAGATTATCTCGTGTTGCTGATACAAACTTTGGTGTTCTATACTCATGGAAGAGGGAGAGGATTTTAGAGTGGTAAAATTGAGTTCAAACCTTCAAAAAAAAGTAATTGTATATTAAGAAAAAATGATTAAAAAAAAAAAAAGGGACACGTCACATGATGAAATTCTTTCGACTCTTGTAAATATATTTCTAATTGTAGCGACTTTATCCTTTGTCCATCTTTCTCAAATTTTAACCATATTTTCCTTTCTTAATCACCCTATCCATTCACTTATCCCTTTACTCCAAGCTTATAATAATATGAGATTTGCAGAAGGGTTACTACACTCTATTCCATGCACCCTACTATAATAAGGTCTTGTTTGGTTTAATGACAAATAGTGGATCGTAGAAATATAATCTGGGGCTAATATATTTTGGGGTGGGTTACTACTACTACATTTTTTTTTTTTTGATCTGCCCTTTAATCCTCTAAAAATATTTTTGGAGGAATGAAATAGAGTTGGTACTCTTTTTATTTATTAGATTTCCAAAAACAACGCAACTCAAAAAATACAGGTATTAAATGTGTTTAATTTTTTTAGCTAAAAAATGCATATACATTTTTCAGTTTGTGGAGTTTTTGCTGGTACATATCTATTTGTGACATCACCAACAATGTAGTGGAAGAATTGTTAGAAGAACAAGAAAAGCAGAGCAAGTCGAAACTCAGCTATAAGGTCTGAGAAACTCACCAAAGCCAACACATTTTCATGGCAGAAAGTCATCAACAGACATTAAAATAGATTTCGTGGACTTCTTTTAAGGATGTTATAAGTGACCGACGAAGACAGTTTGATACTGATAGGGAAAAATAAACCTAACCTACCTTGACCTAACAATAAAAGTAACTAAGTGTTGACCGGTCGCTAGACCTCATCGACTTTCGAACGATGATATTTTTATTAGAAAAGAATAATAATTATGAAGGATAATGAAACTCACTACTTTTTTCATTAAATTATAGTTTTAAAATCATCGTGAATTTGAAATTATACGTACATATATATAATTATCAAGGATAATGAAACTCACTACTTTTTTCGTTAAATTATGCTTTTAAAATCATCGTGAATTTGAAATTATACATACATATATATAATTATCAAGGATAATAAAACTCACTACTTTTTTCGTTAAATTATGCTTTTAAAATCATCGTGAATTTGAAATTATACATACATATATATAATTATCAAGGATAATGAAACTCATTACTTTTTTCGTTAAATTATGCTTTTAAAATCATCGTGAATTTGAAATTATATATATATATAGGGACTTACATGCCATCGTGGGTGATATTATTACGGACGTACTGAGTGAGTTAAACAATGGAACCCTTCTACAACCGCTGGGATGGATCTGACCAAATTGTTCTTCTGCGCTGCAAGCATCACTACCTGAATATGCAACCCTTCTACAGGATCTGACCGAATCTAACTTCTTCTTCTTCTTCTTCTTCTTCTTCTTCTTCTTCTTTTTTATTTTTTTTTTATTTTTGCGCATATAATAAGTTTTCAAAAATAAATTCTTCAAGACCTCGGTTCACATATCTCATTCCGTAATTAATTAATTTAAGAATAAGTAATGTAGCACCATAGGAGAGGGGAAAAAAAAAAAAAAGAGTCGATAAAAAAAAGTAAATATTAAAGTTGGTTAGTAGACAGTAGACAAATTTAATATAAAAAGTCATTAATTTGATTTAGATTAATGCAGTATTAAAAATCAAAATGAATTCATTTAAGTTTCTCTTCTAACCACAACTTATGTATGTATCCTATAACAAAATTAATTTGGAAAACTTTCAAACTTGATTCAAAATTTCAAATAGAACAAACATGATTTATTGATGTGTGTATATATATTTATATAAGGTGAAGAAACTTTGAGCCGATGACAGGTGAGAATTGCACTAAGTTGTAATTGTTATTATATTTAAATTGTCCAAATCAAGCTCGTTGCTTGAATGTGCCATTGTCTCGAAAATATAATATTTCACACGTATGTTGCACTTAGGGGTGAGCAAATAATTCAACAATTTGTCAATTCAGTCCGAACCAATTCAATTCGTGTGGTTCGATTCGATTTTCATATCTCATGATTCGATAATGATTTAAAAAATTAGTAATCCGCTACTCGCAATTCGGTTAACGAATTGAGCCCTCGAAAAATCGATCCGATCCGTTACCTTAATTATATATTAATATTATATATATATATACATACACACACACACAATATACTTACTGTATTTCTTTTTTATTATTATTCATTATTCTTTAAGTTAACACTACGTCCCCAAATTCATTACTCATTTCATTACAGCCGCTGAGATTTTTAATTACTAATTGAGATTTTAATGGGTTATAAAGTGTAATCATATTGAGCCATTTGAAAAGACCAATACGTGAAAACCAAACCGATCCGATCTGCTATTTTACGGATCGGTTTGATTTGGATTGAAGGTCTCCACGGATTAGCTCAATTTTAAATCCACCAATCCGTGAGAACCGGATTGAATTGAGCTTTACCCAAAATCGAATCGATCCGATCCGTGATCAGCCCTAATTGCACCAACCAAATCATAGATTGTTCAATTTTTGTTCCCAAAGTCACATGTCTAGGGTTGACAAAATACCCGTCTCGTACTTGCCCCACTTTGTCCCATTTAAAACAGGTATGGGAATTATTAAATAATTTTGGAGTGAGGATGAGAGTTACGATTGAAAATTCAAATGGTTATGAGGCCAGAATGGAAAAATATCATCCTGTCCCGTTTATATTAATAAATTATAATTTTATCTTTATACTTTATTTTATATTCAATAATTTTATGTATATTTTAAGCAAATTCTAATATATTCTTTTCCAATTATTAAATATTTTTTTTGCATTATTGTCATTTGTTCTTTTTCAAACCCGTCCAATTTAAATATTCTGCCGGCATGGTTGATGATTCTTCTTTTTGCTCCGGTCAATGCTGCGTTTATTCTGATCGCCATTGACTATAAGTCTTGGCTAGATGTTGCTATAATTCTTTATCACACTAGTCAAAATCCCGTGCGTGGAAATTTTGCTGCTTTCCGTGATCGACAATGATTTTATGTTGCAGTCGGCGTTCCCTACGTTGATGGCTTGTTGGCAGTTTCTCGTTCCCCTCTGTTTGCTCGTCTTGCGCCCCTCAGCCGTCATTGGCTCTTGTGTGGTGCTGTATAGTGTCAGTTTGTGGACCATAGGTCAATGATTACTCTGCAGCTGCGTGGAACGTAAGGGGAGATATATTCCAAAAGGTCCACCATTTGTGTACTCCTTCGTTTTACCGGCTTTGAGAACTGTTATTCACAAAATTGTGAGTTACACAGAGTGTGACAAGTATTATTGTGACTCA